CTGAGGATGAAACAGATTCATTTTTTTCAAATATTGTTTTTTAGAATACCAGATGACAAAGTCCAAAAACTCAGTAATGCATACAGTGAAATTGTTGTGTATAGATGGATAATAAAAATATTTTACTGAAGAAGAAACTTACCTTCCATATTTGAATTATGTGAATGACCATGAGTCTCCCCTGAATAAATGTGGCCATGTGCATGGTTATGGTTGTGATGGGGTCCATGAAAATGACTGTGTCTGAAATAGGAACTAAATTCAAAATGCCTGAATACGTTGATGGTAACACTGACATTATCACCTTTTATTACCACTACCAACCACACCTGAATGTCTAAAAACATAAGAAAATGAAGTCAGTGCTTTCTTGTGGTACCAGGCACCAGTATAAAGTACCAGCACTTTTTCTCCAAAATACGATAAATTTTCAAACAAATAACCTCAAAGTACTGCCACCCATTTTCTTTAAAAAAAATTAAAAATAGAAAATTGTTTATAGGTAAAGGAAAAGTTGTCCCTGGTACTTAAAAATCCTAAAAATATATCATGGATAATTCTTTGGACATTTAACTAAATTTTGCATCACTTTAACAAGGATCTACATTGACGAAATAGAAAATGTTATTGCTATCACTGTGTTGCAGCAAAAATACATATGATTAAGCCGAAATATTGGCCACAGGCTGATAAAAATATGTGAGATTAATACATCACTTAAATGTTAATTTCTTTACTCTGAGTGGCATTAGCTTCTTGGAAAGAATTCTACTCCATAAAGTTAAGTTACTTTGTTGTTGAATGTTGGAGGAAAGCAGTAAGAAAAAAAATTTAACCGGTGTATTCTAGAAACACAAAAACTGTTCCAGTGCAACATTTGGACACAGTGCCAAGACATACACACAAGGAAATGTTTAACGGCATTTTTATCTCCTAACCAAACCAACAGAAAGCTAGAAGAGAAAAAGAAGATTTATATTTTGTACCCAACATTAGCCACAGGGAGATTTAAAAATATGCAAAAAAAAGTTTATTTTTACCACATTTCCATAAAAATAAGGAAACTGTAACAAATGGAACTGCCACAGAGAGCATACAGCAATATATACATCTTCATCTGCTCATACAAGAAGACCCTTAGTCTTGAATTATATTAGAAGTAAAAAGATCTCATCTTATAGTTAGACAATTCTATTAAATAAATGTTAACTATCATACTTCCTTAGTATAAGATGGACTTTTCCTCCTGGAAGATACGGCCTAACACCTGCATGCATTTTACAGTCAAAAGGTTAAGCAGGTTCTTTTATCAAATCAAATCTGTATTTATCTAACACTCCATTGCTTCTTATAGTCTATAAAATATGGTACTCACCTAAATGCAAGAATGCCGACTAGATTGACACACAGACCAGTGACTGATACAACCAACAGTCTTTGTGTATTGACATGGGGAGGATCTAATAGACGACTTACAGCTTCAGAAAAGACAAATAATGAGATGACCATCAAGAAAAGACCATTAACAAAACCAGACAAATCTTCCACTTGACTGTACCTATGAAAAGAAAACAAATGCAAAACAATATGCCAGATCTTGTACACATCTTTATATAAACACACATCATATCTGTAAGTGAAAGTTTCATGTACAAATATTGCCTAGTTTTATCCTTTCTTCTTAGTATCACGGATAAATTTCATATTTGGCCTCTGTATTGTTGAGGTCTCCAATTCCTTATTATGACAAGTAGTAAGAATTCTTGAATGAAGGACCATACTACTGTAAGGCCTACACCAATACAGGATAGTACAGACAAAAAGTAGAGAAGCAGAAATCAAGCTAGAAGCCTCAATATCCGAGTAGCCCTAGCCCAAGCAACTACTAGAACTGGTATGATTTTATTCTTTACTAAGCAAAATTAATAACTCCATTCTCTTCCTTCTTCTTCCTAACACATTTCAACTTCAAACGGGTCATCTGACACCAAGCTTCTCCACCTGTTTGTCTTCCTCAAATTCTTCCCATGGTCTTCTTTCCTCCTGTGACATCTTTCCTAATCTTTTATTCCCATCTTATTTTTATTTATAGTTTATTTAATGACAATTTCAGTATCTCAGACTATACTGTGTCGAATGAGAGGATGATAGTGAACATGAATTGACGTTACAGCCCATGCCCCACCTGCCTTAAGAGTCAACAAATCTTGCAGTTCATATATATGGGTTTTGTTTGATTCTCACTGTAAACACATATTATTTCCTTAAACATTATTAACCAGTTGATCTTTATAATAGTGAAGATTTATGTCTTCTGGGTTGCTGCGCTGTGTAGTCTGGTCGATATTTACCAACGTTTCAGAGGTCATACTGCCTCCGTCATCAGGGCAATGAATATGCCAATTGGGTGGGTGGGGTTAGGTTTATAGGAGCCAGACCGTGAATGAAGTGAAAACCTCAAATTTTATGTGAAGATTTATGTTTTCCCTGCAGTATGGACTAAATTCTTAAATATGAGCTTTAGCTTCAAAGGGTTAAATGGAAAAATGGAGAAACTACCAGTATATCAAAAGTTTCTGTCAATTACAACTTATGTCACATCAGGACTTTTCTGAGCTCCTTCTCTTCCAGTATTTGATATAACAGCAAAACCTACCTATTTTAAATCCTCACTTTCTTCTCATATTTTCAAAATCTTTGATCTCATCAAGTATTCTTCCATAACAAAACAGTCTTCAACATATTGTAGTTTTGACACAATATAAATTACACATCTTCTGTTCAACTGCAGCAAAATGTAAATTCAAAATTCACATAGCCATCAAAGAAAATAATGCAATCAGAAAATTATACATTTCTGACTTGATTTAAACAGCAAGCTTGGATCATTTAGTATAATATTGTGTTATCTTCAAGTGTGTCCTTATGTTTAAATTTCACATCACTTAATGATAATCATCACATAAACCATATTTTATAATGTATGATTAAAATATTTACAAATATCTTGATACAGTAAATACAATCTCCATGTTTTTACACTATTTTTAAAATCCACTTCTACACAATTCTGCATGCAACTGGAATAATTCTTTATTCAAAGAAAGAAGTATAACAACACAATAAACACAATACAGTACAGACTTGTTATTTATTTTCAGAAGTCTTACCCATAAGAAAAAGTTTTGGATGGCTTCCACCGAGCCATGACTGAGGCAAGAAGCCCCATTATTAACGCAGAACAATCAAAGAGCATGTGAAAACCATCAGATATCAGACCAAGGCTATTAGTCCAAATTCCATATAGAAACTCAATTACAGTAAAACCTGAAAAAAAGAGAAAATTATCGGAATGCTCGAAACCAAATCCAAAGTTCGGAGGATCTTATTATTACTATTATTAATGTGAAGATATATTATTAAATAATTAACAATTTTAAGATTTACTTCTTTGTTGTGTTATCAACCATAAATTCCATACTTGTATAATAATTACACAGATAAAAAGGAAACAGTAATAGCTAGTGCGTTCAAGAAACAATATCAGTATGTTTCTGCAGCAGCAATTGTAATGGAAGTTAAATTCTTTACATATTCAAACACATGATAAATTAAATTTCTGAATGATGTTGAACAGGAATGAATATTTTCAACTGATTTGCAAGTTTCCATAACATGAGGTAGAATGGAAATGACACAATATGAACATAAATTTTAATAGGAATTAAATCTGAATGAAGTTATAGGAAACAAAGTAATTCACAATTGTACAAATTTCACATTAAGTTCAACAATCAAACTTACTCAGATTCAAACACAGGAAGTAGAATATGCGTCTGCTGTTATGATCAGTCAGTATCTGCTTGAGGAATGAACTGGCTTGCATTAAAATTGATTGCGATGTTTGGTGCAGTGCACTGCTGGTAAAGTTGTATAAAGGCAGACCACTAGCAGAATAGCCTATGAATGAACCTCTTGCTCCACCCTTTGTAGTTGATGTGAGGCCTAAAGAGGCTGTTAAAAGAAACGGTGAAGTACTTCATACTACCAATTTCAGTGATACAGAATACATTATCTGGGAGATACAGATGCAAAAGATGGCTTGTGTCCCCTAAGCTAAGCTGACCCCACCTAAAACATCAAACAAAATGAGGAAAATCACTGGAATAAAAGCTTTGCTAATATATCATGCTGGGGTATCCAAGCCACAGTCTATTCTTTAACCATGTTGATGTGGTATAAATTTACAGACTTCACTTAATATTCCTGCATAACCTAAAACAAGGACATTATGAAGAGTTAAATATTTAGCAAACAAGAAAAATTAATGTTAAAGATGTTTGGTTGAAAAACAATAACAATTACGATATTGGGTTCTACAACAAGACAACAATAAATGTCTTAATTCATCTTACAATACCTAATTGGTTTGGTTTAGTCTGTAACAAAATTAAATTATTGTTATGATTAACTCAGAATCAAAAACCATCTAACTTGGCCTAAATTTTATGCCAGTCATATTATCGGTTCATCATTTCGTGAGTAATACTTGGAATGTTATAGTCACATTTATGACAAAACACTAACCTCACTGCTCCAGAATTCTAAAACGTATTTCCACTAAGTTTAAACTCCAGAAATCTCTGCTTCCTTCCACATCCTTTCCAAT